ATGACAGAAATTGGCTGTGCCTCTTACCACTCTTGTGGATGGTATATGCACCTCCTCCATAGGGTTGCATGCAGAAAAACAAACCAGAAGTAGGAAATCCTTGCTCAGTAAGTTCCCCAGGCTTCCATTTCTCTAAGTGTTACATTAGAAGTTTTCCAGTGAGGTTACACGAGTTTGTATGGTTTAGTAAAACATTGTTTTGGCAATGAGAAAATATTTTATAAGATATAGTTGTATCAAAAAGTTACATAAGCTGAAAATAACACAGATTAATATGTTTACAGTTTATCATAGTTAAAGTTTATTATGCCAGTCCAGGTGAGATGCTAGTTTATGGAATGGAGATGGCTTGAAAATGGGGCAATTCCACCTGCAACAGGTAAAAGTATTGTTAGTTATTTTTAAGCAAAAGTGGCAGCATTCTCAATGCCAGACAGGATGCATATTTAGATTTTTTTCTGACCCAAGAAGTTTATAATTAGAGATTAACAAAACTATTTTTTGTGATTAGGCTTTCTAGATATTCTTTTCAGTTCAGGTCTGAAGCACTGGGTAGACTGCATCTGTGATCACTAGTAATGGTGAACAGTGAGGAGACACCTGAACATGAAGGGAGACTAGTATCTGGTAGGGTTATCAGACCATAATCAGGAGGACTGTCAATGCAGAGGGGCAGAAAAGCATAAGACAGAGATAGAAACATAAAACCACTCTCAAATTAGACAGAAGCAGATTCTGTTCAAAGATTTTGCTCTTGATTGGCTAGTTCCTTTGCTGCAGAATAGATTTTTTTTCACCTAGTTGTCCTTTTTTATATGCATAGATAGGTGAGAGCCTATAGTGTAGAAGCACTATAGTTTGCTTTGAAATCTTGCTGTGTTTAAAGACAGATATTAGCTTCCATGGTCCATAAAAGGCAGAAGATGCATCCGTATTGGTCATTTAGTTTGGTTGAGCATGCTTTTGAGCTGTATCTCCTTAACCTCCCCATTTACTGCACTTTGGTTCACATTGCTGAGCAGTCTCGGAGCACTTGAGCTGGATTGCTTTTACACAACAGTAAACCACAGGACCTGCTCCAGGGACACTCAGCTACCAGACTAGATTAAGTCCAAAGTAAAACTCAAAAAATACCTACAACAAGGCCATCAGGTCTTCAGTGCCAGGGTTTTTTTGCTCTGTAGTTCTGCTTCTCTTACACTGTATTAGTTACTAGTATAATCAGAGATTCCTGCTCTTCTGATCCAGAGCTTCTTTCTAGCAGTGCGATATTTACTGGAAAACTTGTTTTTCTCTTCAGAGGAGAATTATACTAAACAGTGCTTTTATGTGAGCTAATCCTGCATTTTCTTCTCCTCTAATGAGTTAAGCTTGTTTCTCCCCACCACCTCCTTTTTAAATAAAGGAGATTTTTCACTCACTGCAGCATCATTCAGAAGAGCAGCAGTACAGAGGTAAGCAGCCTACCTTTATGAGGATTAGGTCTAGAAAGACAGTAACAAGCATTAAGTCACTTGTTGTTAATGGTAGCATTACTTTCTTAAGTGAATGTTACCAAGATGAAAGACAGACAAGGCACGTGCTTCTATGCAAGTAGTGACAATAAGGTTCTGAAGGACTCAGCTTAACAGCTTGTGTCAGGTGATGAGGTTAATGGAAAAGAATTTGTTATTCAGGTCACTTAATGAAAATAACCTTGGAAGAGCTTAGCAGAGCCCTTGGGGTAGAATAATTTATTCCTCCTCTGCTTCCATCACTGCAAGTTAACCCAAGACATAGAAGGAGCTGATCTAAACATGAACTCAACCTGCCGGAGTAGTGCAGGAGGAACATCAGCAATTACAATGCGTTGTTGTAATCTCTGCTGCCCCTCCAGTGATAATTCGTAGAATACAGCCTGCTTTGCATAGTCCCATCTTTAAAAAACAGTTTGTTAAGATGCAGCTAATCAAAGCAGTGTCCAAGACAACAACAAAAATATGCACCCCAAGACATACAGACAGTCAGAGAGGGACCTGGGGGTGTTGATTGACAGTCAGCTGAACATGAGCCAGCAGTGTACCCAGGTGGCCAAGAAGGCCAATGGCATCCTGACTTGTGTCAGCAATAGCGTGGCCAGCAGGGACAGGGAACGGATCTTACCCCTGTACTTGGCGCTGGTGAGGCCGCCCCTCAATTCCTGTGTTCAGTTTTGGGCCCCTCACTACAAAAAGGCCATTGAATGACTCGAGCGTGTCCAGAGAAGGGCAACGGAGCTGGTGCAGGGTCTGGAGCACAGGTCTGATGGGAGCGGCTGAGGGAACTGGGGGGGTTTAGTCTGGAGAAGAGGAGGCTGAGGGGAGACCTCATTGCCCTCTACAGCTCCCTGAAAGGAGGGTGCAGAGAGGGGGGATGAGCCTCTTTAACCAAGTAACAAGTGATAGGACAAGGGGGAATGGCCTCAAGTTGCACCAGGGAAGGTTTAAACTGGATATTAGGAAGCATTTCTTCACAGAAGGGGTTGTTGGGCGTTGGAATGGGCTGTCCAGGGCAGTGGTGGAGTCCCCATCCCTGGAGGTGTTGAAGAGTAGAGTTGACATAGTGCTGAGGGATCTGGTGTAGTTGGGAACTGTCAGTGTTAGGTTAATGGTTGGACTGGATGATCTTCAAGGTCTTTTCCAACCTAGATGATTCTGTGATATAATTCTTAGGCAATGCATGGTCTTTGGATCAGCCAGGCATAGAAAAGAGAGATGCCACAGCAGCCACCATTTGCACTATTCCTGCTCTGTGTTTGGTGGTTTGTTTTGCTGGTCAGCTGTAATCACAAATAAGCTTCAGCTCCAGTAATTTGAGCCCTTAGACTGATCTGCTCCCAGACCCCAGGAAGCCTCTATGTCTCTGCACCACCATTCCATTCTTAGCCCTTAATTAAAAGTGCTGCATGCTTCCCAGGAAGACAAGCCTTCCACGTAGCTGCTGCCTGAGTCCTGACAAAGTAGTGCACTGTTTTTGGGGTGAGAGCTTATGACATGAGACAGAATAAGGCATGGGAGATCACTTAACAGATACCCCAATTTGATCCCAAACCTTGGGACAACCATTTTGAGAGTTTTAGATCCAGATGTAGATAACCTCAGGAGTAGACAGAAGCAGACAAGTTTAGCACTATCCCCACCTGTAACATTATTACCCTGTTGGCAAGTGCCCATTTCATATTCTGAGCAACATGAATACCTCATCTGTGTAAAGCTGAAAATCCTCTTCACAGCCCTGGGTACAATAACTTCTGTATAGAAAAACAAGATTAAACTTGACAGTAATAGGAGTGACAGAGGGGAAAGCATTCTTCCTTTGAGGCAGAGGTGTGAATACAGCAGCCAGTGACTGACTGAAAAAGGAGGAGAAAAAAGATAAATGCAATTATTCAAGTACCAGGGCTTTTAAAAAATGCTTCTAAGAGAGAAAAAAAGAGACATCCACACCTTTCTCTTGACATTTAACAAACTACCTAAATGAGCTAAGCAAAGGAAAAGAAAGAAAGTCGAAGACCTTACAAAAAGAGTTGCTTTCAGCTGTTTGTTACTACATAAGTTAAAATACATTTCTCCAACCTCGTTAGGGAGACACCAAGCCCACAGGAGACACCTGTGACCCACAGCAAATCCTCATAACCGTTCTCTCTTCTTCCCCATAAGCCTTATTTATTGGCTCCCTCCTGGCTGCCTCTGTAGGGACCAGACTTGTTAGCAAAGCCTCTTTACACCTGTGTGTCTGTAGGCTGCCAGAGATTTAACTCCACATGTGCTGCATCCAGGGTAGCAGACTTGTATTATTCCCGAAAATACCTTTAGCCACCCAGTGAGCCCTGATCCAGTAAATGACCCTGCATCTCAGTGTGGTGCCGACCTTTGGGAGAGTGCTGTCTATTGTGAACAGAATGTCCTGCTGTCACAGCTAGGTTATGTAGACATTTATCAATCAACTACAGCCCAGAGTCTTTAGCTCTTTAGTGCCATAGAGGCACTTAACTCCCAGGGAACTCAAATTCAGTGGTTAGAGGTTCACTGTCTCATAACCACTCTTAGGTATATCCTCCAGAAGAATTTCTAACACTTTACTTCATGCTTCTTTATCACTGCTTTACTTTTGGATTTTTACAGACTGAGTAATGTTTCCTGTCATTAGGACTCTTTGACAATAGTTTCTCTGAAACGCCTTTGACATTTGCAAGGGGAAACAGGCCTACTGTTCACCAAACCCAGCAATCACCCCTTGAGCAACAGGATGCCAGCTGCCAGGGCAAGAGTGGTGGGCACATGAAGTACAGTATGCTTGAGTAATGATTAACACACAACAAAGAGAGCTGCCTGCGCTGCAAATGGAAACACACTGTGTCCTTCGGATGTAAGAGCATTTTGCTCTAATTTTGCACTCTGCATATAGTAATAAGACACAACAGGGTGTGCATTAAGCTCGTCTTCTGAGAAGTGCAACAGTAGCTGAATAATGCACACCCTGGAGTGTCTTATTTGTAGTGGACTATGGCTCATTAATTTTACATTTAAATTTTTTCAAAACCATTTAAAAAAAAATCTATTCTGAGGGCAGTTATGTAATGTATCCTTCCACTGAAAAGTATTCTCAAATAAAAACAGTAGGCAAAAGGTGAGGAAGAGCTTTGCTGAACTGCAGACCAGTGTTTGATTTGGTTTGAGTAGGGCCTCCAATGAGCATGTTCTTGGCATGCAAATGCAGATATATAATTCAAATAATGATAGTTATGGTAATCTATTCAGTGTTTACTCTTTTCTAGACTTCCGTTTCTTGGAATGACTTGGGGAACATGGTTTTGTCAGAGCAACAGTGTGTATGTGTGCATGGATACAATAACATTCAAAGGACAGAGGGTGTTATAAAAACTCTGTTTTGTTATGACATCACTTCGGAAGTACAAAGGAGGGATATCTGATTTCTGCTGTTCCACATGAAATATGACTATAGTTTATCCCTTTATATAGGTTCCAACCTTGATGATGGACACCCAGTTTTCAGAATTCACTCCAGATATCACCCCAATAATGCTGGCGGCTCACACCAACAACTATGAAATCATCAAACTGCTTGTCCAAAGACGGGTAACAATTCCACGCCCACACCAGATCAGATGCAACTGTGTGGAATGTGTCTCCAGTTCGGAGGTGGACAGCCTGAGGCATTCTAGGTCAAGGCTGAACATCTACAAAGCCTTAGCCAGCCCTTCGTTGATTGCCTTATCAAGTGAGGACCCTATCTTGACGGCCTTCCGACTGGGCTGGGAGCTGAAGGAGCTCAGCAAAGTGGAAAATGAGTTCAAGGCTGAATATGAAGAGCTTTCACAGCAGTGCAAGCGTTTTGCTAAGGACCTTTTGGATCAAGCACGGAGTTCCCGAGAATTAGAGATCATTCTCAATCACAGAGATGATCAAAGTGAAGAGCTGGATCCCCAAAAATGTCATGATTTGGCAAAGCTAAAGGTAGCAATAAAGTATCACCAGAAAGAGGTAAGAGTCATCTAAATGCAAAGATGTATGAAAGCTTCATGTACTGGGTACAGTGATGCGTTTTGCTAGTCTCCATGGGTTTGTTCAGGGTTTCTGTCTGTGAGCTACAGGGGTGAGTCTGAATTGACTGGAGAACAATGTGCAAATGGGCTAGTCACAAACCAGGAGGTTCAGCACACCTTGGTGACAGCATGAAGCTGGTGAGTTAAGTGCAACAGGACTGGCACTTGCTGCAGTGGGTTATGGCTTCTATGGCACTGACACTTTCCCTTTCAAAGATACTTGAAGCCCGTTTCATTGTAACCTATCCTCCTGCAGGGAACAGCCTTCAGAGATTTCCAAGTTTGTTAGCTCCAAAAGCTTTTCCTAGTAGCTGCTTTTATATAGGAACCAAAAGGTGAAAGGGTTGCCTGGTTCATGAATGTCTTGACTGCAGGAAACAATATAATAGACAATTCCCGTCCTCCAGCTACCAAACACTTCCTAGCACCCATTCAACACTAATTTATGAGGGCCAGAGAAACAACAGCATCAAAAGAGAGCAAGAGAGATCATGAGCACTTTCACTGTCCCAAGCCTCCATGTTACCAGCAATTTTGTTAGGTGAAAATGGTCCTGTGATGCTAGCCAGTGGATCATGTCATGCAAATACTTCTTCACACATGAGACACCTCAGGTTGATTCTTGCTTCTTGATTCATCTGTGTTTTGGGAACTGAGAAGCAATTCCCAGACATTCAAACTCCTACCTGTAGTACCAGAAAGACATACTTCAGCTAAAGGGCACAGAGCCTTTCAGAAGCCCTGAAAGTTCAGAGATTTATAAGTTGATTCAATAAAGCCACTAATCCAAGGAGAATGCTGACAATAGTTTCATTAGTTGGCTCTGGATTTTCTTTCTATTTCCAAACCTGGACAGAATTTAGTAGATGATACATTACTGTTGGCCAGTGGTGTTCCAGGTTATCTGAAGGAGGAATTTAGCTTGCTTGATTGACAAATTGAATTGCAGTGTCTGTTACATTCTTCTGTGTCTAGAGGGTGACAGAAGTGGCCGAAAAGCCTGCCACACTACTCTTTTCACTGTCTTCCCCACATTTGACACTTTGTTTTATGCATTGACCCATTGAGATGAGGACAGCCTGATGCGATACATTCCAGCTCCCTTAATGGCTGCTCATATCATCTGATGTACAGTAGTCAAGTGAAGGATGCAGATGTACCTTTCTTCCCTTTGCTCTGTTACGCCTCCTGAGTACCAGCCCCTTGATGCAACAAGCTGGAGCCTAAAGATTTCTAGGATCACTTACTGCTCTTAGTGGGCTACTCCAGTGAAGTGTCAGCAAGGCTCATTGGCTTCATGTCAGGTTGTGGTTTTTACTCTAGCTCACAGGGTTAGAGCTTTAGGTTAGAGTTTTTAAAACACTGTAAGTGCTTTAGGGACATGAACGAGTAGTGAAGAATTAGTCTGGAGAAGTGCAATAGAGGTCAAACCTTCCTTGAACTTAAGAAGGGCAGAAACTGTACTTCTGTTTTTTTTTCTACTGGCCTGATAGCCACAGGTGCTGCACCCACATACACCCTTCAGCAGCCAGGATATCACTGGCACTGCTGTGTGTGGATCACTGCTGATTTCGATTTGTCTCAGTTCAGGCTCACTACAGACATCCAAGCATAAGTCTGTGACTACCCTTATCTTCTTTAAGGCTACCCTTATCACACTAAGAAACTACAAGTCTGAAAGAGTTCACTTAGATATGAAATGTAGTGCTGAACAGTCCTGAAGGTTTTTTACTTTGAAGCAACAAATTTACAATATTTGTTTGCTTGCTTGATGGTTTTTATCTCTTTTTTTAAGGCATATTTGACTGAATTCCAAACATATGGGCAAATTCCATGTTTTGTGACATATTCATGACGGTTCTAGTGTATAAATAATAGTAAATATGCTCTGTGTTGCAAGATAAAGTCAGTGCTGTTTCCAGGTAAATACTGGTGGGCAGAGAGAGAACGAAGGGATTTGGGAAACCAGCACTAATGAACTCCTTCATCCTACCTGGTTAATTACAAATACCTGATGTGTCCTGCAGGGTGGTGTTTGTATGCAACAAAATATTGCAGTAGTTTTCTTGTTGTCATAATCAGTCCAATACGAAACACCAAGCAAGATACAAACATCATTCCTAGCTTCTGAAAACAATGAATATGAACATTTGTCAGGGAGACACTAAGAAATGCCTTTTAATCATGACTGAAGAGTATCAGAGAATTTTTGTGGGGATGGGAAGGAAAATACAAGCACGTTCAGTTTTGTGAAAGGGTTCTGCAGAGAAAAACAGCAGACATTTTAAAAGTAAATCATCTCGTTCCACTGAAGCTTTTTATGTCTTAATGTTAAATGGGATTGGATTGGATGGAGAAGCTTTTTATATCCTAATTTTGACAAAGTTACAAGTCAAATCTCTAGTAGTTTAAGACAAATATGCAAAGTGAACCTTAGTTTTCTGGGGATGTAAATTGTTACTGCAGTTGTTAGTTCTTTATATTCAGCATAAAAAAATGCCCAATCTGACATTGATTTTAGACTAATTGCTAGACAAATTTCTTGCATCTTTTTCCTTTTTGAGTGAAATAAACCAAAAAATGTCTCCCAAAATATGAAGTTATTCCATTTCAGCTTAATTCAGCAGATATGTTCAGTGTCAAGATTCTTTCTAGAGAAGCTGTTAAGACAGAGTTGGTAAAAAGATCCTTGCCTTTGGATGGAGGGGTAGTACTGTGTGATTTGGGTAGGGAGTAGATCTTAATGTTACTTTTTCTTTGTACCAGCAGAAGTGATCTGGGAATTCAAGAGTACTCTTCACCAGACACTTTATTCATTCTTCTTCACTCCAAGGCATTTCAGATGAATCCACCGTGCCTTTTTTTTACCCCCATGTTGCACTCACATACTGAAAAGTAGGTGCTGGTTTGTTCCAGGTACAGAAAAATAACAGCATTAAAATTTATAGTGCATGTTGATGATCTCCAGCAGCGAACATACAGGACTGAAAAAAGTCCTGATGGGAAAAGTTAGACATCTATGAGCAGTTCTTGCTCCAAACTAGACCCTTGGAGGAAAGCTTTTTAAAGCTGGTTAGGCTGCTAAATATGCAGGTAAGTAGGCAATCATTTTTAAACAGTATAATCTGGTTAAGTGCCTAAATCCTGTTGGAGATTAGACACTTATCTTGCATAGACACTTATCTGGCATTTTGATACTGCACTGCAGAATTAGCTGCATCTTTTGGCACATAGCTACTGGAGAAAAATCTGATCTTGTATGTTAAGTTTTAGCAAACAGTTAGCAATCAGCCGCACCACAGACACAAATCCCTGTTCCCTGTGCTGAATCCAGTAAACATACTCATGGTATACACAACTTCATTTTCTGATCCAGCCTGAGTGCCTCAGTCTTTGCAGTGAGCAACCTGGATGAGGGCTGGATTAGCAAGGGGAACCACCTCAGTTCAGTCCTACCTCCAGAGAAATACTAGTCCCCTCACAGAGGCTCCACCTCAGTCTGTATCCCCAGGTAAATCCCACTGCCAGTGCATTTCTGCCTCATGACGCAGATACAGGTTTTGTCTTTACAAGGGTAGAAAAATCTTTGATTCTTTTTTTTTTTTCCAACAAAAAACCCTGGGAGGTACAAGTTTTGATTACTCCTAAACATTATATGTGTTGAGTATTTTATAAACTGAAAAATGTGTACTTATGAGAAAGAAGAACTTTTTCCTTTGGAGGAGGACCAAAACAATGGAGAAGAAATTTTTTGCTTTTCATGTTTGTTTTTAATAAGCCTGTATATCCTAGAAGATAAATTACTGTTAACAAAGAAGGAAAAATTTCAATTATACAGGAAAAATTATAATGTGCCCTAAGGTAGCTTTGTAGTGTATTTTATAGTAGTAAATGTTAAAACCATGCTGTGCAGTGTTCACAAGCTCCCTTTCCATCTCAAGTGTAGAACGGTTGTCCTCAGTTTCAAATTGCAAAAGGACCCCGATCATTTATTTACAAGATAGGAAGGACTTCATAGCTGTGATCACTGCTTGCATGGTAGTGACCAAGTATTAGAAAAAAATGAGGACAGCTCTAGTAGACTATGAAACATGATGAATTAGGTCCAGCACAGGCACAGCAGTTTAGTCTGTTCACTTTTGAAAGAAATTATTTTCATGGAATCATGGCAATTCATGGTGTAAGAGACAAGTACGCTTTTCATAAATGATCTGCAATATATGGCATTTGTCTTCATATTATTACTTTTCAAATTCTTTTATTCATGTCTAATTTTGGAAGGAGAAAAGTTCTGAAGACTTAATATGAAAAGGCACAGCTCAGCTGTTGAGGATCAATCTCCACTATGTTGTTCTGGCACCAAATTAGCTCTGCATTTGTTAATTTGTTTGCATTTCTAAGAAAAGATGGGGAAAAGTCATCTCTTAGAATCTTGCCAGTCACGTAAAGCACAGTTGCCTGTACAGTGTACCATCACTTTATTAGAGAGTCAGAGCATAGGCAGAATGCAAATCTAATTTTTATGTCCTTTAAGGTTTTTTTTATATTGCCAAAATAATGTAAAGCAACCATAGTGTAGCAGTGAATCAGGTCTAAAAGGGCAGATTTCTCCTTGTATATAACATTCTGCTAAGCTACACGAATACCAATATACATTCAGCCTTTTCCTGCTTTCCTGCTCTCCATCACAGGTCATTCACATCTTCAAAATGAAGTGAAACAGTAGTTGGGTTTTAGTGCTTTGCATGTTTCTGGTACTGATAGCTGCAAATGGCTGTGCAGGTTTAGTTTATGTCTGTAAGAAACACACACCATGCAAGAAAAAAAAAATAATTTACCTATGTCTCTATTTTCACTGAATTAGATCAAAGAAGTGCATGAAGTTACCTCTCAGAAACCTTAACCTTAGCCTCTCTTACTGTACTCTAAATCAATGAC